CAAGCGCCCGCGCCCTACAGTGAAAATCGCTCCAAAAAAAAAAAAAAAAAGTATTAACAGCCCAGTGATAGGTTAACTTTAGAACAGGAATTGGTGTTGGGAAGATATAAGAATTTTTTTTTGAATGAGATGTTTATCTTTTATATTTTAAACATTCTTACTACTTTACTGAAAAGTCACAACAGATTTATGGTGCTGTTGAGGACTGAATTATTCTCTAAGTTGAGACATGCCTTTGGGTTAAATTAAAAGTTACCTGAAAAGGGGAGAGCCTTTGTTTCTACCAACCTCACCATCCCAGTCTCCCCTTTGCTTTTTGCTTCTTCTTCTTTTTTTCTTTCTTTCTTTTTTTTTTTTTTTAAATTTTTGCCAGTGGGTCCACGTACACATGAGAGAAAGAGAGCACACAAGTCAGAAAGTTAGAAATCATCCCCAAGGGGAATGATCATGCACAATTCCTTTTTCTCTACTTCTCCCTCCTTTGGGGATTTTGGATGAGCATGTACACATGCCCAGCATGATCTTCAAGTTGTCAGACTTGAGAGATGAACCACCAGGTCAGCTGTGTGGGATCCAGTTCCTTAACCACAAGGCCATGGCTGATTCCCTATGTTGGTTGTTTCTGCAAGTGCTGGGAAAATGCAAAGTGGGCCAAGCACTGTTAGGCTGGGTGGTCCTGAGAAAGGCAGTATTCAGACTGTGGCCCAAACTTTAGTTTACCTCTTGCTGTCCATTGCCAGATCTGATAGAAGGCAGCTAACATGAGCTTTGTAGTGTCCAGACCCCCACCACAGATGGAAGCACAGGGGAACTTACAGTAGTGCCCTGGGGCTGCCAAAACAAAGCAAAATCCACTTGAGAGGGCCGGCTCCAGGGTGGTTAAGGCAGTTGATTCCTGCATGGAACCACACAGTTCAAATCCTGAACCCAGCAACTTGACAAACACACTGGGCACATGCGAGTATATGCCCAAAATTTCAACAGAGTAGAGAAAGGATTGCAGCATGGCCATACCCTGCTGAGGAGTGCTCTCTCCCTCTCTCTCTTTCTGTCTATCTCTATGTCTTTGTCTCTCTCTCTCTCTCTGGTGAGAACACATAGGAGCTCCCTAACTTTTCTCTTAGAAGGACACACAGTTATTAGACTTCGGGCCCACCTTAATCCAATATGATTTCATCTGAGATGAATACATGTTTGTGAGTAGATTCACGTTTTCATTTATGTTGGGCGAATACCTAGGAGTGGTCATTTTATCCTCAACTTTATAAGAAACTATTACATAGTTTTTCCAAAGTTTCTGCACTGTTTTGCATTCCCACTTACAGATATGTTGTATACCTTAAAAATACAAATTATCTTTGACTATTGTACTCCAATAGAGCTGGGAAAAAATGAGAAAAGCTGGGAAAAAATATACTAAAAAGAGGGGAGAAAGAGTCCTTTTCTTTTTTCACTTTTTTTCTGTTACAACATCTACTTTTGGTGCCCTGCTTTGAAAATTGTCACTAGACCGAATGTTGAAAGATTTTCTCTTCTGTTTTCTTCTAAAAGTGAAATAATTTTTGTCTTGCATTTGTGACAGTAATTCATTGTGAGATTATTTCTGTGTATAGCATGAGGGGAAAGTTGAAGTTCATTTTGTAATACAGCTATCCAGTTCCTGCAGCCACCATTTGTTACAAAGAATGCCCTTTGTTTGTTGCATTAGCAGGTGGTTTTAATTAAACTTTTTTGATTCACTTGGAGTTGTAAGAAATAAGATGCTCTTTAACATTTGGCAGAACTACACTACA